CCCCGGGCGGGCTCGGTGCGTGTGCGAGGGCACACAGCCCTCCCCGGTTAGCGCAGCCGGTCCTCCAGCTTTCGCCCTGTGTTCTGGTGGGTTCATTGTGTTTCTCCGTGGAGATGGATCCCTTTGGATCCGCAGAGGAAGGATCCCTTTGCAGGGTAGCTTCTCCTTCTCAAAGAATTGCGGAGGACCACCACAATTTGAGCTCCTTGCATCTCAACTGCAAAGCTGCTGCCAGGTTCCACCCAGAATTAAACTTGGTTTCAGGGGTGTGTGTTTCTGTGGGTTTGTTTGTTTGTGGTTTGTTTGGTTTTTTTTAAATCAGTGCTTTATCTGCAGCAGCTCTCTTAGAACATCTTCAAACCCTAGTTCAGCTATTGTGGCTGAATGCTGAATAGGTTAAGACGAAACCTGGAAGAAAGCCTGAGTGATCTCAGTGATAAGCATGTATTCTAAATAGCAAACGATCAGCTCATCCTAAAATGATCCTAAAATTAACTTGCAACAGTATCAGGTTAGTAGCTCCTAATTATAAGATTTAACTAGCTGCTGAATTATTTGTCCCTGTGAGAGATTTGAGTCTGGTTTTAAAAAAAGAAAAGCTGGAAGTGTGCTGTTGTGTGGTTCAGCCTATTGCAGTGTGCCTGTGCGTGCAGATACTTCTGCTTGCTCAGTCAGCAGATACTCTCAGTATGAGTTTGTGGAGGCTTCAGTCTCCTTCATTGCTGTAACATACATTGTGCTCTGCTCAAAATTGCATTCTCTTCTTAGAATAAAATATAATCTTCACGAGCTTTTGTCTTCTGTGAATTTTGGATGGGTTTTTTGTTTTGTTTGCTTTGTTTTGTTTGGGTTTTGTGGGGTGGGGTTTTTATGTTTGTTTTTAATTTCCCCTAATTAAAAAACAGGCTTGTAGTTAATGGTTGTCACTAACAGACATTTTTATTTTTTTCTGGCTACCACTGAAAAGGATGAAATTACTACAAAGGACTCATACTTGTACTCTGATAAAACGTGCCACTCCCATTTTTGTGCTGCTCTCGTTCCTTACTGTAGGGTAGTGCTGAATAGAACACGTCAGCGAGTACTTGATGAAATGCAGGGTGGGCTTTTGCTCTTTAAGAGGTTTGAATAACTGTGCTAATATGCCAATACTGTAACTAGCCACCTATATTCCAAAATAAAACATTCCTTAACCAAGAAATTCTTGGAAGAATGATGTGTAGTGCTGGTCTGGAAAATTTTGTGCTTATGAGATTTACAAGTTAATTCTACTGCATGGAATAAAATCCCTGTTACAGACCAGTGTGTACAGTTTTTCTTCCAAAAGTAATTTTGCTCTGCAGCTGGCTTTCAGTGACAGAAGACCCTTAAAATAATTTTTGTAAGCCAAAATTAGGAGGTTTTCTGGTAATCCTACTGTAATAAGCATTGAGTGCATGTGTTTTAGTGTCAAGTTCTGTGATGCTTTAGGGAGATCAAGATATGATGATTTCTGCATATTGCCAATTTCTTGTGGATGCCAGATAGGTTTTTCTTTCACTAGTAGTGCCTCAAAGGAGTAAAAATGTTAGATTTAGGGACAAGGTTCACCTTGTCTGTGGAAGCAGTAATAGAGGTTAATATTTGACTATGTTAATTTCTGAAAAATAGCTAATAAAAGAAGTCAGTCTCCTAATAGAAACTGGGAGAAAGAAAAGCCATTGCCTTCATTTCTGTCAGTACAGTGGATATACTCTGCATTTGGTGGTGCGCTCATGCACTGGTCACTGCTTGTTGCAGTTATTAATCCAAGAATAATGTCTTAGCTTTCTGAATATGCTGTCGACTGCAATACCTTTTTTACTGTATTTCTTTGCTTATTTTCTCACTGAAGGTTTTTTTTTTAGTGAAGAGCTTTGTCAGCATGAACACTGTCCCTTTACGAAACAAAGCTAAGTACTGTTCAGTAGTTGAAATATGTTTCTTTTTTTCTTCTTCTTCTTTTCCTTGTTTTCAAACTGATGTCATGCACAGCAGTATTAACAGGTATTAATGAGCTAGACATTCCAAATTCATGACAGTGTTTCCCGTCACAGCAGTGCAGGCATCATAGGATTGATTGTTCAGATGGTGCCCAGTTAACAAACAAGGAAAAAGAGGGTTTTTCCGTGTCTTGAGTGCTTCACAGACCTGCACCTGTGAGTGCCACAGAACTAGAATTGGATTGTACAACCCAAGGTGGGAAACCACGGCTGCGTTCCCCTGCATTCACCTGTGTTTTTCATCCATCCTTTTTTTTAAGGTGGGATTGGAGGAGAAGGCCTTTCTAAAAGTGGTGGGGATCTCATTTTAGTTTCTGAATGATCCAGGCTGTTCTGATTTTGTTGGAAAGGTTGGATCTGTTGCCCAAGGAAGGTTTGACATAATGACACAGGTTAGGTTGAGAGAAAGAAATCAGTACTATTTGAGGAGCTGTTTGTGCTGACAGGAAAAAGTCCATGGCTGGAACACTGTTCATACTGCTCATTTATAATAATTAGTTTCCACAGTATAGTGTTTCCTTTTTTTTATTATTTATTTAATTTTAATAGAAATGTTATAAACAAGCTACACCTAAAAACAGGTGCTTTTTGGAAGTAGCAAAATCCATTGCCAAGTTGAATGTAAAAGTGTCTATAATATGGATTTGTTTTCTCTGTAGGACTGTTTGACTGTGTTTGTTGTTTGTATATCACTGATACTTTGAATACTTAATGTTTGCTATAGTACTTCAAGCTTTGGAGTAGATGGGAGTTGTGCAAAGGTTGTTCTGTTCCATCAGGTCATGTTTTTTGTACATTTTCTTCCAAAACTGTTTGTAGAAAAAAAACCAGCAGAGCATGTAATGCCGAGTCCTGTAATGTAGATCATAGTGATACAGTAATTAAGGGTGGAAGGACCTCTGAGGGGCTAACTCTTCTCTGAGAGCAGAGTCTGCTTAGGCCAGGTTCCTAGAGCTCCTCCACCTGAGCTTTGAGTGCATTCAAGGTCAGAGGTTCCACCATGTGTCAGGAAACTCATCTCAGTGCTTGACTACCTTCTTAGTGAGTTGGGTTTTTTCCCCTAAGACCAGAATTCCCCTTGTAGCAGTTTGTGCCTGTTGTCTTCATGTTCTTTATACAAGCGCCTCAGAGACGTACTCAGCCTTCTCCATCCTATTGTTGCTGTCTAACAAAGATCATAGAATCATAGAATGGTTTGGGTTGGAAGGGACCTTAAAGATCATCCAGTTCCAACCCATTCCTGGGTTGGAGCAGGGATCCATGAGCAGGGATCCCTATGAAGCCTTCTCCTCTGAAGGCTGAGCAAGTCCAGTCTTGTGTCTCTCTTCGTGTGTCACTTGCTCCAAACCCCAAACATCTTGGTGCCTCTTTGCTAGTCTTGCTCTGGTGTGTCAGTGCCTATATTACAAACACAAGTTAATACATTATCCCCTGTCATGATTTAGGATTGTTGTAGTTCAAGGCATCATAACAAGTGTGGGGTTTCTGGGTTTGTTTGGTTTTTGCCATTGTTGAACTGCTGCATCTGAAAATAGCTTTGGTAGGAGAAATCTTATAATGAGATTTTAAGATGAGGAGCTTGTGGTCGTTTTTGGTTTTCATTTCAAAACCATGTAAAAAAAAAATTTTAAATAGATCTTATTTTATACCTCAGATAGTATCTGCTGCTTGTAAGCTCATCCTTAGCAGTACTTTGTAAAAGCAGGCTGCCAGTCAGAGGAACTTAAAATGTTTCTACAAATAGAAGGAATGGAAAAAAACATGAAAACTCAGCAGTGAACATAAATTTTAACGTTGTTTTCAACTCTGAGGTTGCTCTAGTTGGAAAGCTTTAAAGGCACTGCAGTTAGAGATGTGAAAGTGTTATCCCGAAGGCTTTTGTAGACCCCATCATCTTGATGTTCTCCACTCTTTTAACTTGTCCCGTCTTTTGCTTCTCTAGGAATATGAAGAAAAAACTGGACGAGCTGACAGACCACTCTCCCCTAAACAGAATGTGAGGAAGAATCTTGATTTTGAACCACTCTCCACTACAGCACTCATTTTAGAGGACAGACCAGCGTAAGTTTTGGGAAGTACCCCAGTGAGGATCCCTTTAAAATTAAGCTACCAAAGCTTTTTCTTCCTGCTTGTATTTGATTATTCTAACTTAAACAGATGGTTTAAAAGTTAAAGAGGAAGGGTTTTTTTCAGGCTAGGGAATATGAAAGTGGGATGATTGTGAAGAAAATTATTCAAACAAAAGTAATCTTATTTTATAATAAAAGGAAAGGCTTGTACAGAAGGAGGTAATTAGGAGAGCAGAGCTCTAGTTTTAAGTAATTCTAGCTTCTAAACATGAATAAGGAATTTTTATTTTCCTTGAGAGAACATAAGCATAAAAGTGAAGCTGATAGATGCTAAAGAAATTGAGAAGCAAGGATACAGTGTCCTGTTTACAAAGAGAAAGACCGCACCTCCATAAATAATGAAACAATATAACGATGGTTCTGCAGTGGGTTCAGCATTGCATTTTAAAGGTTGTCATGTGCTTGGTAAGTTCTCATGCTTCTCTTACTGCAAGGAGATTCTTGCATATACGGACTAACTTCGTAACGATTTCCTGGCAGCTGTTTTACCGTGGTTTGCTCTTGAATTACACAATTTGGTCGTGCTGCTTCAGTTTATGAATGGTACCCAGCTTTACAGGCTGGTATCTGCATTTTTAATATAGCTGTGCATTGGTGTAAAGAGCTGGCATAACCCAGGTCTGTGCTTTCATTAACAAATCTGTATGAGGAATGCTCATATCAAAGTGGTCTCGTTGTAGGGTTGTTTAAGATACTTTTTGGCTTGACTGGTAGACTATATTATAAGACTTCCTGGGACACTTAGAGCAATGTAAGAGTGGTTATTTGTTATAGCAAATTTTGTTGTGTGCAACTGGAAACAATACAGACTAGATTATTTGTTGTATTTAAAACCTCTCAAAAATAATTCTTTATGTGAGATAATCTGAGAGGTACAGTGTTTGGATAGATTGAATTAGTGACACATTACAGGAGAAGATTCAGATTTTGCTTTCTTTCCTGTTGTTGATAGACTAAGGAACTCCTATCAGAAAAAGTTTTTCAAAGATTCTAGACAATTGAATCATCATTTCTTTTTTCTAATAGAGAAAACTGCTCTGGACAGAAGTGCTGTCCTCTGATAATTTTTTCTTAGGAGTCTCTTTAATTTTTTACTTAAGAGTTTGCTGCTTTTTTTTTTTTTTTGACCTATTAGGGATTAAGTAATTTATTTTTAATTTTCTAGGACAATAAGATTTAAGACAGGGAAAAAATATAGGGACAATTTTCTGAAATGACTGCTTTTGATTTTGCACTCACTTGCAGGGTTTAGGTAAAGCTTTATAGGAAAAGTAAAGAAATATTCCATAGTCCCTCTAGCTTTAATTGGAAGAAATCTTAATAGATACTAAACATCATCTCACATGTATGGTGATGTTGTTAAGAGATAACAAAAATAATTTAAGTGGTGGAATTTAAGTTAGCACAGCTTGCATTGTTTCATCTGGTTTTCACAGAATCACACAATGGTAGGGGCTGGAAGGGACCTCTGGAGATAACCTAGTCCAAACCCCTGCCAAAGCAGGTTTCCTACAGCAGGTTGCACCAGACTGCATCCAGGCGGGTTTTGAACATCTCCAGAGATGGAGACTCCACAACCTCTCTGGGCAGCCTGTTCCAGGGCTCTACCACCCTCACAGTAAAGAAATTTTTCCTCATCTTCAGATGGAACTTCCTGTGTCCCAGTTTGTGCCCATTGTCCCTTGTCTTGTCACTGGGCACCACTGAAGAGTCTGGCCCCATCCTCTTGACACCCGCCCTTTAGGTATTTTTAAGCATTGATAAGATCTCCTCAGTCTTCTCTTCTCCAGGTTAAACAGACCCAGCTCTCTCAGCCTTGCCTCATACAGGAGATGCTCCAGGCCCCTAATCATCTTTGTAGCCCTTTGCTGGACTCTTTCCACTAGTTCCTGGTCTCTCTTGACCCTGGGGAGCCCAGGACTGGACACAGTATTCCAGATGTGACCTCACCAGGGCACAGTAGAGGAGGAGGATAATTTCCTTCAGACTGTGGGCCACACTCTTCTTAATGCATCCCAGGACACCATTGGCTTTCTTGGCCATGAGGGCACACTGCTGGCTCATGGTTAATTTGCTGTCCACCAGCTCTCCCAGCTCCTTCTCTGCAGAGCTACTTTCCAGCAGGTCAACCCCCAACCTTTACTGGTGCCTGGGGTTATCCCTCCCCAGGTGCAGGACTCTACACTTGCCTTTGTTGAACTTCATTAGGTTCCTCTCCACCCAGCTCTCCAGCCTGTCCAGCTCTCACCGAGTGGCAGCACAGCCTTCCAGTGTTATTGGCCACTCCTCTTAGTTTTGTATCATCAGCAAACTGGCTGAGGGTACACTCTGTCCCTTCATCCAAGTCATTGATGAATACATTTAACAAGACTGGGTCCAGCACTGACCCTTGGGGAACATCACTAGCTACAGGCTTCCAGCTAGATTCTGCACTGCTGATCACAAGCCTCTGAGCCCTGCCATTCAGCCAGCTCTCAGTCTCAATCTACCTTGCTGTCTACTCATCCAACCCAGACTTCCTAAGCTTACATATGAGGATGTAATGGGAGACAGTGTCAAAAACCTTGCTGAAATCGAGGTAGACAACATCCACTGCTCTCCCCTCATGTACCCAGCCAGTCATGCCATCATAGAAGGCTATCAGATTGGTCAAGCATGGTTTCACCTTGGTGAATCCATGTTGATGACTACTGATAACCTTCTCTTCCTCCAGATGCTTAAGAGATGACATTGAGAATGAGCTGTTCCATCACCTTTCCAAGGATGGAGGTGAGGCTGACAGGCCTTTCCTTTCCAAACTTCCCATAACTTACACCATTTCTAAAGACTTGGATTTTAAAACGGTGCTGGTCAGTTTACATAATTGAAACTGGAAGAGAGTAGGTTGTTCTCTGTAGTTAACTAGCACTGATGTGGAAATCCACTTGTTCTTGTAACAGTCTTGATTTTAAAAACTGTTGTATCACATGGCTGTGCATGCTTTACAGGGGATATGATCATGTACTCCTGTTAGTGGTGACTGGCTAGCAGCTGCCTTGTGTGACACCTTACAGGAATGTGAAAGTGAATTTTTGCATATCTTTTTTATTAACCAAAGATATAAACTGTCCTAGGAATACCATAGAGTGTTCTACAGTACAGAACAACAGAATACTTAGTCATTTCCTGTTCTGCTGTTCTAACGATCCTGTAATTGTATGAGATACGTAGTGGTTATGTTAATTACAAATATGATTAGCTTAAAGTCAATGTCTGATGTATGAGCATATGTATTTGTATGGCAGAGATGATACCAGTCCAGGCTTTAATCACAAATCCAAATGCTGTGTTGGTGTTGATAACTGGAGAATGCAGAGGATGACTCCAGTGCTACTCGCTGCTGTAGAAGCGAGAGGGAGGAGTTGAGCCTTAAAATAGAAACGAGGTCTCAGAGCAGAGGGGAAAAGGATGCTGCTTTAGGGAGCTGTTACTGCACAGGTACAGAACATTGTGGATGTCACTCTTAAATGAGATGCACAGGAAGAGAGAGTACAGTCTTGTATCTTATCTGTAGAGATCAGTTTAAATCCAAACTACCAGCTTGGTATATACCAGTATATTCCCTTTATTTATGAAGATCAGCCTGTGGGTTCAGTTGATTTAATAATAAAAATGCTGAAATTACCAAACATAAGGAAATTACTCAGCATATTTTGTGTATAAAAGTAGTCGTAGCTGGTCAGGGTTCTTTCCTTCTCTTCTGCTGACTCTGGCAAAAAGAAAAATTCTTTCCAAGGATCTGTTGCCCTATTCTTAGATCAAATATTTTGACAAGAAGCAGTATATGCTTTTCTTTTATAAGTGTCTAGAATTTTCTTTAGACAGGCATGCCAACTTTAAATACTGATTATTATTTTTTTAAAAATTAAGGAACCTCCCTGCAAAGCCAGCAGAAGAAGCTCAGAAACACAGACAACAGTACGAAGAAATGGTGGTTCAAGCAAAAAAAAGAGGTGATGGAATTTCTTGTCTTCAGAGGGGAGCAGTAAAGTTAAGGGGTATTTCTAAACCTGAAATGCACTCGTGTCAGTCTGTTGCTCTGTAACGTGGGGGATCTGTACCTCCCCTCAAAGAAGAATCAATCCAGAGGCCAGGAGCAAAGGTAGTTCCATTAAAAAGCCACACCTGAAGCAGAAAAAGAGAACAATCCTCGAATCCAGCAGGAAATAATTTTTTAATTTGTAGCTTTCAAATAATTGAGTGGCATCTGTTTGTGGGTTTTCAAACTTACTAGTATGTTGAAGTGGATTTTCGGTCAAATTAGTGAAGACTGGACTTACTTAGATAACTCCAGCATATTTGATAGTTCCATGTTGGGAACAACCTTTTAAGGCTGTAGTACATAAACATGTAGTTTTCCATATAGGAAAATATATGTAGTTATGTTCATTTGATAATCTGTCTCCCAATTAAAATGTACAGCTTTCCCAAGGTTTTGCTCATAATTCCTTGTCTGACTGTTTACCTGAGTGTCTCAGTAACACTGTACTGTGCACATCAGGTAGAGCTGACAGTAGTGGCTTCCTTCTGCTGGTACTTTTGACCATCTGGGTTTCCTAATTAAAAACAAGCATTGTAATAATAGGAAATTTGAAGTCATAGAAGTTTCGTGTCCAGTGAGAGCTATTGGAAATACTTTTTTTCCAGCTGGCCAAACCCCTGAGCCATATGAAAGGGTTAATACAAACACAGGACTTGCTTGCTTTCTGCAGTTGTCATATTAATCAAAGTATCTTCTTGTGGTTTTGAATATCATATACTTACCAGTGAAGTTCCAACTTGATGTGACTCCCATGTTAGTGTATCCACTTAACATGTATTGGTCCAGAGGAGTTTCTCTGTTCTTTCTTTGCACGTAGGGTAGGTGGTTTGGGAGAACTGAGATGATGCTCAGGTTAAGCAGTGGGCCTGGTCCTTGTGCTGTCTTCCCTGGACTGGAGTAATGTCATTCTGTCCAGATAAATACCCTGACAAACCCACTTTCCCTAAAGCCACCAGATTAGCAGCTTTGCAGACTGATGTATTGTGTAGAGGTCAGGAAATCAAAGGCTGTAAACACCCTTTTTTGTTTAGAGAAAAATTCAAAGCTTGCATTTATGCAGGCTTACAAAGAGCTCGTATCAAAGCTGAAAATACTAAGAGGCAGTTGGTGTGGTTCTGCTCAGGCACAGCTTCTCTTGGGCTTTAAAGTGGACTCCTCAGGTTGTGTGTGTTCATTCCAAAGACTTTGTTCGTGGTACTGCTCTTCTTCAGTTAGTTTCCCTTGCCAGGTCAGTACCTTCCCATATTATAGACAGTGTGTGTGTGTGCACGCACATGTCGTGTATTTCTTGTGTGCTGCTATAAAGAGTGTCTGCCTGCATTTGTTAAATTGCATGTCTAACAAATTTGCCAGTGTTAAAAAAAAAGTAGATGATGATGCAAGAAGAAATATGGAGTGATAATGCAAAAATGTAAAATATGTTTAAATTAAATGTGAATTTCTTTTCTTTTTAATGAACTGAAGGTTTCCAATGTACATATATTTGTGATGTTTTACACTTGGATTAACCATATGCTAAGTAGCATCAAAAATGTCTCTTGTGATTTCCTGACAATATATCTAAATCTTAATTTACAGAGACAACACGTAAGAGCAAAGACAAAATTTGTATTATTTTAGCCTGTATTTTTGAGTCTGACATAAAAAAGGGGGTTGGGCTTTATTAGGAAGTAGTCTGACCTGTTCTACTAGGTGGAACTGTTGACTGTCAGAGATGCTAATTCAAAATTACTACTGTGATTAGATTTGAAGGGTCAAAGGAGCCATATATTATCCAACTCCCTTTGCTCCATCCATCAGAAACGAGCCTTATGCATAGTCCCACTTTTTTCTTTATTCACATTTGGCATCGCTGCTTAGCTTGTTCTGTGCCTGGGAAATTGTTAAAGTTTGAACAGTCCACTGTACCTTTAAGCATAATGTGCTTTTACATGGCTGTATAGCCATGAATAGCTAACTCTCAATATTTGGTTTCTGGTTTTATTAACTTAAAAAAGAAATTGCTTTCCTGCAGAGCTTAAAGAAGCCCAGAAGAGAAAGAAACAACTGGAAGAACGCTGTAAACTGGAGGACAGCATCGGCAATGCTGTTTTAACTTGGAACAATGAAATCTTGCCCAACTGGGAAACTATGTAAGACAGTATGTTATACTGAGTTTTAATTAAAATTGCTGAGTCTGTATCCTGAAGAGAAGTTACAGAGTTAGCAAGTATAATTTTAAATGGTCTTGGAAGCTTTTGTTCGAAAGTAACTTTTAGACAGCTACAAAGAAAATGAGCAACATATTTCATTATTTCTACCAGGTTCCTGGAAGTGATGCAGTTCTTGCTATTTCTCTTTAACGGAACTTCAGGATATTCAGAAACTGTGAAACACTGAAGTGATCTGTGGTAGATAATGTAAAAGCAGGAAGTAATGCTTGAACACCATGCATTTATCAGAAATGAGCTTTCCTTGGCTGCTTGAGCTGTTGATGTTATAACATCAGCTGTAGATTGAAGTATTATGAAGCCTCTTTAATTACAGAGTGGTATACCTGCTGGGATAATCAAGTGATGGAAAAGAGAAGTAGGGAAAAAGTTATTGTAAAAAAATAATAAGTGCTAAAAGATTTCCTACAAAGACACGTCACAAGAAATTGGTAAGCTGCCTTCGATGTCTAGTTTTCCATGGACTTTGCTAGTCATCCTAAAAGGCCAGCCTTGCCATGGATATAACCACCACAACAGTAACAAAAACCAGCCTCCACAACACTCACAATTGCAACTTGCTTAATTATGGAATTCAGTTGTCCTTTGAATATTTGTTAAAAATATAGGTGGAATTTGTTGGAAGATGCATTTCTGGAGAACTGAAGTAATAAATTAAGTATAAGCAGGTTGCAGATTTACATGTCTGCCTTTAGTATTGGAGGATGCATCTATTATGGCTGCTGTTAAAATAAGGACACCTTTTCCTGTATTGGTTTATAAATCCAGAAGTTCCCCAATGTGCTTACAGTTTTACATTTGAGTTCAGAATCTGCTTTTAGATAAATGGATTATGGTTTTTGTCACTGGCACAAACTTTAATTGGTGCTTAGGTGCCGTTCTGCTCTTCCTTCTGGGCTCTCAGATTCATGAACATCAGCCGCAGCCATTTCAAAGCCTGTGTTGTGTTAAAATGTCTTTCATGCTCGCACCTAGAAGTTGTTAGTTGTCACATCTTGATGCATTTTTTCCCCAGTGTTAGAGCTGCAAAGCTGGGTGGGAAACTGCGTGTCTCATTTGCACAGCAGGGTGATGACAGAGGGTGGATGTCTCTGACTTGTGTTTAATTTTACATAGAGATTTAAGTCTGTCCAGCCTTTAGCATAGGCAGTGGCATAGACACTGATTTAATTTTCATTTGTTTATTTCTGTCCCCTGTGGTTCTTGCTGGTCAAGTGTGATTGTAGATTACGGATATTGTGATTGCAGTGCTTCTGTCAAAATAAGCCATTAACTTGGAAGGAAGTAAGCTTTCCTTTACAGTTCAAAGCAAAATAGTACTCAAGAATGGGTACGTGCAAACTGCATTTAACTTCTTCGCCTGTTGATGTTCATTTTCGTTTGAATATCTTCAGCAGTGGTAGGAGGACACGTTTACAGTTCAGCTGGCAATGAGATGTTTCTTAATCTGTTTTATTTTAAACAGGTGTTGTTCCCGTAAAGTTCGAGAACTATGGTGGCAGGGCATCCCCCCGAGTGTGAGAGGCAAAGTCTGGAGCTTGGCAATTGGCAACGAGTTAAACATCACCCACGGTGAGGCTGTTTTGTCTACGTTGTGTTACAAAGAGAAATAGTAAGGGGACAGTCTTGTGTTTATTATGATGTATCAGAACCTGAGGTGTGGGTGTGAGGAGATAGTATCTAGTTACACTTTTTTGGTGGTGCTTTGACATGTTTTGTCAAAAAATACAGTGTCTTTTAATCTCGTAACTGCTCTAGGACTGCTGCTGTGAGTTGTTTCTGGTTATTGCTGTTATTTGCTTTGATGTTCGATGGAGATGGTAAAAATTAATGACTCAAGTTCTTTTGTTCTTTTTGAAACTCAGAATTGTTAATTTTGTAATGCCTGTGAGAATGCAGGTACTTTGATTTAGAGCAAGACATTAGGTTTCTGAGAGATTAAAAGACCTCTGGGAAAATTTGTCCTTTTTTTCACCTATGTGTTTGTGAAAATAGAAATAGTGTGCTCCTTCAGAGTACAGAAAAACACAGCTCTGAAAGGCTAACATATATAATTAATGCCAGCATGGAAATGGAGTGTACTGCCTGTACTCCTGCTGTATTGTGCTGCTTTGCTGTCCTTGGCTTGGTTACCTTGGGTTTAGTTCTTACATGGAATTTTCTAGGCTTATCCCAGTTAGCTGTCCATTCAGACTATAATTTTGAGCACCAGTGGTCTGCAAGAAAAGTAAATGCTTGAACATAAAATGCAACTTGTGCCTAGATTGCCTTTCCTTTTCACTTGATCTTAAGTTATAGGTTAGTGGAACAAGTCTTCCAGAACCATAACCTACTTAGAAATTCAGCTGCTATGTTAGAGATGCTGTTAGTTGTAATGACTGGGGCAGCATTACTTGTATGGTGGGTAGTTAATGCCTGAAGTGGACGTGAGCATCTACAAATAGTGAATTTGGTTTTCTCTGTTTTTCTTTTTCCAGAACTGTATGATATTTGCCTGGCTCGTGCCAAAGAGAAATGGCGATCACTTAGCACAGGAGGGGCTGAAGTAGAATGTGAAGGTATGCTTTTTGTGAAGGACTTTTGCTGTGTTACAAAATAAGAGATATTGTAAAATTGTTCCTAAAAATGAAATAACAGATATCAATCAAAAAAAATCAGCTTTAAAGATACCTCTGGTAAAAAGAAAGCTGCTCTTTGTGGAAGTAAGAAATAGCTGTATTCTTCTCAATGAAACTGTAGTCTCTTATAAAACACACTTGTTCATTATTATTTATAAACTTATCTCTAGGTACAGTTCTTATTTGATGCTAATTTGTAGGAAAACTAGGAAAGTTTGGGGATTAATTTGAATTGCAATATTAACATAGTTTTTCTGCATCTGTAGTTTTGGAATTGAAACTCAAATTATAGCATAAAATTGCATTTTTAGTCCCTTATTGCAGCTCTGAGCTCAGCTCTTGGGTGTGTTTCAGAGAGCAGCAATTTATTTTTGCAGATGAAGTGGTTTGAGATTTACTAATTGATTGGAGGAATTGTCTGGTTTTGAGAGTATAAAACTACATGCAGATGCTTGAAATTGCCTTTTGTAAGTAATTATGCTGAGCAGAAAAAGGAGAGCATACATACTGGTATTATCAACAGAAAAATATTTTTGATTGGAAATCCCCTTCTTTGTTCTCTTAAGATTGTCTGCATCTTAAATAAGATGACATCTAGTACATTTCTAGCTTCCTCTTGCACTTTATTTTCTGGGGTGTATTTGCTCGTGTGATTGGGTGTGAGCCTTGGCTAATGACAGCTCTTGGCTTTTGATTACTCAATAAGTAGCAGTAGGTAACTCCCAACTCTACTTAACTAGAACAGACAAAAGACAAATAAAACTTTCTGATATCATAAAGAAAACTTAATATTTTAGAAATTTACTTTGTATGAGATCTGTTTCAGTTATGGAGAGTGTATTGCGGTGTCCATGATCTTTAACAACACGTACAAAGAGTAAATAAACATGAATTTGAAGGAGAGCTGACAGTAGTAGAAATAGGTGGGTCAGTCAGATACTTCTGCTTTAGGACTTCTCCCTCCCACCACAAACTTTCTATAGAGGCAGCTATTTCGGGAGCCACTGGGAAGCCTTGCTGGTGGCGAGGGGTTACAGGTTAACAGACTTGTGTCTGTCTAGTGTTTTGTCCGCGGATACCAGTAAAATGCCTGACCTGCCTTGCCCTACATCTTTCCCCCCATCACTTCAAAACATATTGAGGGTCAGTGCACACTGTAGAGTTGCTTTGAGTCAGCACATACTTGATTCTTAGCCTGTGTGCTGAATTCAAGGAATTGTCCTGTCTATACCCTTATTCCTTAGTGTTTGTATCAAAATAAATGAACTGTGCAAAAGCTGATCATTTCTGAAAAAAAACCCCAACCAAACAAACATACATACACTGATCCATGTAATAAATGCAGTAACTTTTGGCTTTTGTAGATGCTGGATTTTCTGCAGCTGACAGAGAAGCAAGCTTGGAGTTAATAAAACTGGATATCTCAAGAACATTTCCTAATCTCTGTATATTCCAGCAAGTAAGCAATGTTAACTTTTGTCTTGACTTCTCAGAAAAATTAAGTTTACATAATCTTGCCTATCTCATGGTTGAAACAGCCCATTGAGTTCAAATCTGAAGGAGCAGACATCTTTAGAGTTCCTAAAAGTTTTGGAAAATTACAAATAATCTAGAAAAGAGTAACCTCAAGGTACCATACATTTGGAAGAGGCAAAAAAAGTAATCTGTTGGCTAATTATCATGATTCATCTAGCCATTTTATGCTGGTTTCTGTCTGATGAAGTGATGCAAGTGAGTGTTTCCATGTCAGTGAATCAACAGTGCTGGGTTGCAAATACACAGTAAGTGTGAGAGCACAGCTCATGCAAGCGAGATTTGGTGGCCTTTTTTTGGTTCCATGCAAGACCAGTTTAACTTGGGTGTTTTTGGTGTGCATTAACAACTCATTTTAACCAGATACTCTGTCCTTCTATATGCAAATTTCAGCAGCCCTGTAAAAAGTTTACATTATGATAGATCAACATTTTTGGGTGAAAAACTTCTCCCTTTGGAAATTATCAGCCAGTTACAGTACTCAGTGTAAGATATGGCAGCTGTTAATAGTCAACAGCGTGAAATTCTTTTTAGCTATACATGTCGTTCTTGATATGCTCTGTGTGTGTGTTATGGCATATTGTTGTTGTTTTAACTGTTTTCTTCATGGTTGAATTCTGCCTCTGGTCTAATAGACAAGTAGTTTTCACCAGTGTTCTGCTTTCTTGGCACTATTGTCAAAGTGCTGCTAAGCTGTAAGCAATCTCTTAGGCTTACATTCCTCTTGTATAGGGATTTAATATGTAATTGATATATTGAATTGAGGCAAACTGTCTGCATTTGTAATAAATGAGGGCTGTTTCATGCCTTTAAAGCCAAAATTATTTTGAAAGACTTGGGGCTGTTGAAAGCTGCATAAGGAAATAATGCGTCCTCCATCAGAAGTAATGGATTCTGTCTGTAGCACTGAAGGGTTTTTAACATGTTTGTTATATACTCAGGTGTATTGTCTTGTTTTTATTTAATTATAGGGTGGTCCTTACCATGACACGTTGCACAGTATTTTAGGAGCCTATACTTGTTACAGACCTGATGTAGGCTATGTAAGTGAAGATTTATTTATTCTTTTTCTCTCAGATGTGGGGAGGGAGAACTGGGAGGAGGGAGGATTGTGTTAATTCGTTCTTTGTAAGTTGGTACTAAATGATTTTGTGAATACTTGTGAGGTTTCTGTGTGCTTTCTTCTATTCCAGTACATACTTGAGAAGTGTATATAATGGTTCTGTTGCTAGATTTAAGCTTTTTAACAGGCTAAGTTGTTGGAAAACTCAAAAGTAAATATTTGTAGTGCTTGAAAATTGGAGTCAAAAGAGAAGATGGTATTTAAATTGGTCCTTTGAAGTACGTACTGTTCTTAATGACAGTCTTACTGAGACTATTCTGCTGAGTATCTTACTCCTCCTGATACACACTTCTGTGCTTAGCACTGTGAGCTTCTGGAACAGTCTTTAAAGCAATGCTCCCTCAAAGCATTTGAAGTAGTGATTATGAGAGGACTGAGTGCATTTCAGATACTTAATTTAGTCTTTTTGTCCCCAAGCAGGGTTATATATAGGAACTTATTCTTTATTTGGGAGCAGTTGTTTTAGAGAAGGCAAATGTAGAAAGATAACATTCCTATTCTGTGTGTAGCATGCGATGCTTGGCAAAAACTGCTGAACATGACTGCTGGGAAACTAGGAACAGGGCAGATCAGGTGGTGTGCTTCATTTGGCATGGAACCTGTTGTTGTGTTGGGAAGGAGCTTGTTCCTCAGGTTTTCAGGAAGGACTGTCACACCTTGGTCCATGTGACTCTGCAATGGCAGCGTTACACCCTCTGAGTGAGCGAGCTTTGCTTAGGTTCAACATTCATTCCATAGCATGCTTTGTAGAATAATGCAACCACATCATGAGCTTAGGGTAAACAAAACAAGAGCTTGATCCTAAAATGCTTGTCAAATGAGCCATTGCAGTTGTCTGTAACTGCCAGTAATTGATTGAAAAAGGAAAGAACAGGCTTTGTCTCCAGTGTCCTATAAGGGTATATATGACCCATCCCTAGGAGAAGAGGGATTACTTGGAAACAGCTTATTCTTTAAATAAAATCTTTATTCTGCATATTTGAAAATGCTGTCACCCTAGCTTTTCCTAAGAGTTTTATTTAGTCTTTGAAAGGAGGCAACACGGGGATCATTAGCTTCCATACTCTTGAGCATGCAGTACCAAAGGCTCATGTGGGTTAAAAACCCTGCCTTCCTGAATGTTCCACAAAATCCAGCAGCTCAGTGAGTGCATTAAACACTAGTGATTATGAGGACAAAATGAGGCAGTATTCTTGGAAGAATACAGTTGTTGCTGAATGGTAACACTTCTCCTTTCTTCAGGTACAGGGCATGTCATTCATAGCAGCAGTATTGATCTTGAACTTGGATACTGCAGATGCCTTCATTGCTTTTTCTAACCTTTTAAATAAACCCTGTCAGATGGCATTTTTCCGTGTGGACCATGGCCTTGTAAGTATGCAAGAAAACTGTAACTGGCGTGTTGTAGAGATGTGTAGGGAAAATTTATTTTTTTTTTTTTAAAAGGGGGGGGCTCAGTAGCTTGGAAAATACATCAGGATTTATTTTAAAACAACATGCTTGATAAAAACATACCAAACTGATACACATGCACAACACCTTGGAAAAAAAACCCAAACCAAACAGGCAGGTGAATTAAATCATTAAACTGCTATTTTATGATGCTCGGAGAATAGTTATGGGGATGTTATTGTAGGTGTTTTTCAAATTGTGCACTGTAGTTGAATGCTGAAAACAGTTTAATATTAGAAGAAGTGTCCTGAAGGTGCCCTTTATCCCAAACTAATAGGTTGCTAAAAACAGACTGTTACAGTGAAAACAAGGTTTCTCATCTTTAATTGTAGCAGCTGTGTTTGAAAAGGAGCCTGAGGGAATCAGAAGAGCAGACCTCTCCAGTTTTCAGTGGGAGCTGGTTTCCTGATTCTCTCTGGACTCTCTAAAACTCCTTGTTATGTACATTGGGCTCCTTGTGTACTGTAGCAAAATAAGACACATCTCCTGAAACATGTTTTTGATTTACTTTAAAAGTATTATTTTGTAAAATATGTGGCATTCTGTATTTTTCTCACTTACTTGATCTTTTAGCACTGTGAGAATAAGATCTTCTGGAGTTCAGAAGGGAGAAATAAAGCAAGGGAATGGATGACATCAACAACGATCACTTTTGAGCTTAAACAGCAGGACACTAGGGATCCTGTCAGTATTTCCTGCTGGAACACCAGTATGTAGCTCCTTGTTGCAGCCCCTGAATCTCATCAGTTGTAAATGGCCATGGGGAGATGTAGTACAGTGCAGGCAGCATTGCTAGAAGCAGTATCAGTCAGTCATCTCCATTGCTGTACTTGGAAAAAGAGGGCATGCTCGTGCATTCCGTGTGTAAATACAGTTCTTGCAAAGATGATTTTGGAAATTTTTTTTAATCTGAAATAGTGGAGTTTTTGTAAGGTCTTGGATAGCACCATTGAGTTCCGTTAGCCTGGCTAAATAGAGGCTACATGATAAATGGATGCTTACAGGAGAGCAGAGATGGTGATACATGAAATAATATTAACATACTGTGAAATTACAAAGCCATAATGAACACTACAAGGAAAACTTTGTACCTAATATTTCAAACAGAGTGACACATAAAGTGAGACAGTTTTGGCTGCAGGTGCTAAATAAACTGATCTGCTGTCTGTCCTCATCTTTTTCTGTCAGTTTTACTGCTTAATAACCAAATGCTGGTTTGTCTTAACATAAAATAAATTTAAAAATAAAACCAGCATAAGTTAGTTGTGGAAATTATAGTAATTTATACTGATTTATCTTGACTTCTTTTGTTGGTTACAGTTTTATTAAACTAGAAATTTTTTTAATGACTACTAAGTAAATGTCTTGTTGAATGTTGATTTTTATCAAGATAAGTACCTGAAATGCTATTACATTCCTAATAGAGCTGCCTGCATTACTAGCAGTAGATGTGATTGTAGCAGTTAGGTGTATGATTCCCTCTCTAAAGCAGTTTTGAAGCGCTTTAGTAGAACTCTTCCTGTGGTGCTACCTTGCAAACAGATCATTTTGGAAGTAGGACTGTGTTGCATTATTTGCTTCCTTCTTTGTACTCACAGATCTCGTGATACTTGGATTTCATGCATTTAAAAATCCATATTGGGAAGCTCTTTCAGTTGTACAGTTCTCTAAAGTAGGATTCTAGATTTCTGGTTTCATGTTTGCCATGAAGCTGTTTCTCAGTAAGTGAAGATTCAGAGATACTCATGTAACTTTGTATGGCTATTTCTGTGGCATACACCCATCTCTGATTGGCTTTCAAGCCTTATACTCTTACTGACTACCAGGCTCCATTTTTTATTTGCTGCTGTTAATGAAGCTAGTCCACCATCTGTCACTTCATTCAGATAAAATGAGAAAAATTTCCATAAGGACATTAAAAAAACCCTGGGAAACAAATCTGTCATTGTTTAAAAAGATTTCAGACAAAAGGCTCCAAAAAGCTCCTCTTTTCCCTTTACTGTCATGGTGTTTTGGAGAGAACCATGCTGATACAACTCATACTTTGAAGTAATTACAGCCATTCTTTATTGCTTTTATTGCAATTAAAATTACTGAAGCATTCAAGGACTTTGCTTAACTTTTCTCCCTAGAGGATTAAGAGGATGGGGAGGGGGAGCTAAAAAGCCTTTTAACTCTTAGTTGAATTGGAAGATTTTCTTCTTCCATGCCCTCTGTTATGGAATTTGACCCACATATAAAAATTTTAAAATAACATGGAAGTTTTCATGTTAAAAGCAGTACAGTTCAGGAGTTATGGTATCAGATGGGAGTTACAGTCCGTTTCTCTTACATAGGTGTTTTGTCTTGATCTTTGGCTTTTCTGTGTGAACTTGGTCTCTCCCTCTTTGCAGTAGAAATGCTGTTACCTCATTTTAAAATGTGTGGTGTGAAAGAAGCTTTGGTATTAGAATATGATTTACGATTGGAGCCAATTGGATGCTTTGCTCTTGCTGTGGACTATGAAATTATTTTAGTTTCATATTTCATTTTATAATCCATTGGGCCTTGGATTTTATTCAGTGTAATATTAAATTACTGCCACAAGCATAAAGCACCATTCTGTTATCATAATTATTTTGAGAAATCAGCAAATAACTTCTCTCCTGCTGGTGTTTTTCTTTCCAAAGGAAGCTGGACAAGAGCCAAAACAATAATTACATTGTTTAGTATGAGAACAGTATATAGAGTGGATTTTAAACTCTGTGTGTTTGCAGATGCTGTTCTTTATGTAAATATTTAACTCTTTATTGTATCATGTAATTCATACAATCCTATTTTTGAAGAGCATTAATCCAACAACAGATAATACATTTAAGCCTATTAATACCGCTAACTGCTTTTTTCTCCCCATTGTGTTTTCCCAGATGTTGACTTACTTTGCCGCATTTGAGGTGTTCTTTGAAGAAAATCTGCCAAAGTTATTTGCTCACTTCAAAAAGAATAACTTAGCTCCAGACATCTATCTTATTGATTGGTAAGACATTGAAAGTATAATTAACGTGCATACTAGCATATAGCTCCATGTCAGTGTTCATGACAGAAGCTGGAGTGCTCTTACCTGGTTTAGTGTTCTTTTAAGATAAATGCTTTATCTTTTGTTCAGGACTTGAGTTGTCAATGCAAATTGTTCCCACATACTCCTGTGATGTGTAACATTTGCCTAACCATTATTATTGTACTTCTCTTGAGTTTGAAGCTTGTTTTGAAATACATCCATGTAGCAGTGTTTATCCATATTTAGTGCATATTTGGATTGATCCTCTGAGAAAAATCTGTTAGTTTTTCTACTTAATGTGCAGATGTATACCAGGGGTGTATATCCAGAAAGTATTGCTAGCTTTGCATTTGAACATTACAGTTTGTCCTTTTGCACAAAACAGGAAAAAAGTAGTTAAAACAGTGTCGCTGTCCATACAGCAAAAAGCTAGGAGCCGCAGGAAAGCAAACACGTAGGCTTTTGGCAGGATGAACTATGACTCTGGCGCAGTATCTCACTCGTATGTTAGGTGGCCCTAGATCCTGTTTAGAGGATCCCAGTACAGGTTGTTTAAAAACTGGTCTTGACACAGTCCAATGGAATAGCTAAAGGGCATTAGTATTTTTAATTACTGCAGCTATTCCACTTAGCAGACAGGCAATTACAATCTTTTTGTTTGGCGAAACTGCCTTCCTTTTTAGTTTAGTGTAATTAGAACCTTTTTCCTTAGAGAGGAAAAAAGACAAGGACCTTATTTGCACTCCTGCCAAATTTCAGTTTGCTGTAAGGCACTCCAAATTTGCATTTGTGCCTGTCATGCTTGAATTTGGGGCAGCTAAAATGTCTCTTCTCAGCAAGACTTTGTTGTCAGTTTCAGGATGATACAAAATCTTTTTTGTGAAAAATTGATTTGTGCTTAAATTGTTGACACCTTCTCCTGTTCTCAGGTATCTGACTAAATACCTTCAGTAAAAAATGAAATTCCCAGTAGTAACAGATTTATTTTTTTTTTTTTTTTTTTCTGAGATCCAGCAGTTACTATTTTGGAAAACATTTGTATTGCTAATGCAGTTCTATCTGAACCAAGCTCCTGTTACCCTGGTGATCTTTAAGACCTAGCTGTTAGCATTGAACTGTCCATTAGATGGAAATCCGTTTGAAGTAATTCAGTCCAATCCCACAGCTGGAAGTTTGAATACATGAGTTTTCATAGGATCATAGAATTGCTGGGGCATTGGAAGGGACCTCTGGAGATCACCAGTCTAAACCCACTGCTGAAAGAAGGATCAACTAGACCAGGTTGTTCAGGAGCTTCTCCAGTCAGGTTTTTAACATCTCCAAGGACGGAGACTCCACAACCTCTCCAGGCAACCTGTTCCAGTGTCCAGCTGCCCTCACAGTGAACAAGTTTTTATTTTCTCATATTTAAATGGAATTTCCCGTATTTCAGTTTGTGCCAGCTGGCTCTGGTCCTTTAGCTGGGTACAACCTGAGAAGAGTCTTGTCTCCCTTACACCCTCCTATCAAGTACTTTTACACATTGTGTCAGAGACATCTGTTTTCCTGGCTAAACAGTCCCAGATTTCTAAGCCTCTCCCTGTGTGTCAGATACTCTAAAGCCTTTAATTGTATTCATGGCAAGCTGGACTTGACTTGCTGCAGTATATCCGCGTCTCTCTTGTACTGGGAAGCCCAGAGTTGGCTCACCAGTGCTGAGTAGAGAGGAGGGATGACCTGCCTTGGCCTGCTGGCAGTGCTGTTCCTAATGCAGCCCAGGAGTTTGTGGACGTTCTTTGCTGCAAAGGTGTGTTGCTGACTTAGTTCAACTTGTTGTCCACCAGGACCTCTGTGGTTTTTTTCTGTGAAGCTTCTTTGCAGCCTGTTGGCTTCCCATGTGTATTGGTGCCTGGGCTTATTTCCTCCCTAGGTGCAGGATGTGGCATTTCCCTTTGTTTTGCACTTCATGAGACTCACATTGGCTCATTTCTCCAGTGTCTCAAGGTCTTTATGGAGTGTGGTATTGACCACTCCTCCCAGTTTTGTATGGTCTGCAAACTTGCTGAAGGTAGTCTGACCCGTTGTCTAGGTCCTTAATGAAGAAAAGTATTGGATGAGTATCAAACCCTGGAGTGCTGTACCAGTGGATTGGCTTGAAGCTGTACTTCATGCTGCTAACGACAAACTTCTGAGCTTGGCAGTTCCAGCCAGTCAGTTTTCCATCCGTTTGTCTAGTCTGTACTTCATCAGTTCATCAACAAGGATTTTATGGGGTACAATGTTGAAAGCCTTGCTAACATCAAGATAAACAACATTCGTTGCTCTCCCCTCATCCACCAAGCCAATCATCTCATTGTAGAAGGCTGTCAGGTTGGTCAGGCATGATTTGATTTTGGTTTCATAAATCTATACTGGCTTCTCCCAATCACCTTTTTGCCCATCATATGCTTTGAAATGATCTCCAGGAATTTCTCTTCCATTACTTTCCCAGGGATAGCAGTGAGGTTGACCAACCTGTAGTTCCCTGGATCCTGCTGCTTGAAGATAGGAGTGACATTTGTTTTCTTCTAGTCTTCAGGAACCTCCTCTGATCACTGGAACCTCTCGAAGATAATTGGGAGTGGCCTCATAATGATACCAGACAGTTTCCTCAGCACTCACATGTGTATCTCACCAGGTCCCATGCACTTGTATATGCCCAGTTCGTGTAGACGTTCCCTAACGTGATCTTCCTCTACCTGGGCCCCGGCTTCCTTGCATTAGGCTTTCCCACTGTTCTGGAGGACCTGGGATTCCTGAAAGCAGGTCTTCTCAGTAAAGACTGAGATGAAGAAGGGCAGTGAGTTCCACAGCCTTCTGCATGTACTTTGTCACCAGGTTCCCTGCCCCATTCAGCAATGGGCTCATGTTTTCCTGAGTCCTTTTTTTCTGCTGATGTACCTGTGGAAAGGCTTTGTCATTGTCCCTGACAGCCATTGCCAGATTCAGCTCCAGGTGGGTGGTGGCTTTCCTAGCCCCTTCCCTCGATACTCGGACAATGTCTTGGTAGTTTCTCTTTGTTTGACTTGGCTTTTACACTGGAATTAAATTTTAATGCAACATGAATAGGAGAATGAGAGGGTGTGTAATGGTTAGGATTATTTCTCCCAACATTTGGTGGAAGAAATACCATTGGAAGGATTTTTATGACTGAAGGCTGAGAATATTAAGCTGAACTGGATTTATGCAGAGAGCAGGAAAATGCTAGGAAAAAATACTGGAATAGGATAGAAAGGAAGAAAAAGGGAAGAGACTGATATGTTCAGTGATAAAAGGAAAGATGTTAAAATTATATTGCCTCAGACAGTGTTTTGAAAAGCCTGTGTGTGGAGGAAGCAATTGAATAAAAGGGATAGTAGAATAAGAAGACTGTAAACATGCTGGAGAATAACTGGATAGACAATACTAAAATCATCGTTTTAATGGATTACTAGTTTCATATGATGTTGTCTTAAATAAGGTTTTCTTATGTAGGAGAGACTAAAAATGAGTGTCTTTATGGTGCAGGTATGTTAATATCACTGTGTTGTCTAAGTTTGAGCTTTACATTGTAAAGAAGAAATCCTGAGGAACACCACCAGAAATTGGAGATTTAGAAAAAGACTGTTCTAGTGAAAGGTTGAAGGTTGACATTCCTCTCAGCAATTTTGCTTTGTTAGACTATTATTTATTGTATTTTTGTGAGTAAACATTTGTGTGATCAGTTGTTCTCTCTGGGCACATTTATAGGTTAAAAAAACCCTAAGAAATTACTGACTTTTGAGCAAAGAGCTGAAGTGTTTAAGTCTGAATGTGCGGGGCACATCAGACACCCCTTTTGTTCCTCCTTTGTGTATTGTTAAGAGCACTTGAAAGAAGCTTCTGTCAGGAGCGCTTGTGGATGGTGCTTCTTGAGGTCTTTGTATGAATGTACTGACAGCCCTTAGCATTTCTTGCTGACTACCTGCATCCATATTAAAGCTGTTTATTTTAATCCCAAGGACAATTTACTGTGTCCTTCCCCATCCCTGGAGAGTCACAACACTGTGACCTTGCACAGGAATGTAGACTAGTTGAAGCAGTCCTGCCCAGTCCTGTATTACACTTCTTCTGCGCTTCTCTGAAGCTAGACATCTTGTCTCACTCTATCCTTAATTTTATTAGTGGAGTTGGTATTTTACTGTGTAAGATTTAGGTACAATATTTAAATATATGTGTGTGTGCATATGTATATACGTACATACATACATATACACACTTTCTACTTTAAAATACTTCGATCCTGTGGGAAGCAGATTTAGATTTTTTAATTTCTTTTAATGGCCACTGGAAACTTAGCAAATTGGACTTTATAATGCTGTCCTTCCATTGTTTCCAGGAAGTAATAGAGAATAGATATAAGGAAAAATCAGGTGGGTCTGTGTTCACACAAGTGAGTAGCTGTTAAAACTAAGGACTATGGAAAATGTTGTTTATAAGGTTGCCTGTGGCTCATGGCTGGCAGTGAATTCACTGTAGTACAGATACTGCTCCATTAAAAACAGAACTGTTTCTGGAAAGATAAGAATGTGGCTTCAGTGTGTTTAAAGTCAGGGAAGAATATGGTACAATGTCAGTCTGAACAGACAGAGCTTTTGGTTGTAGATAAAAATGCCTGTGAAACAGCTGTGCTCTAGCAGCATTACTTTTATTTAAATGTGTGTTTGTTCTGAGCTCCAAAGGGATGCCTGCTGCTGTTCCTGTGGCTGGCATGGTTACTGTGCAGGCATGTGTGCAGTAAATCTCAGTTGGTGCCAGCTCTGGGAGGGCTCCAGTAGCCAGTGCCTCACAGACCAGTTGCTGGGAAACCCTCCTGCTCCTGCCACAATTACAGTGGAATTAACTAGTCTCCTTTGTACTGCTTCCTGTAACCGGTGCTGCAGGGAACAGCATTTGTTGAAGGGATGCTTTCCAAGAAAAACAAATGCTGTGCATATAGATGG